CATACAAAGACAATTTGGGCAATTAAACCTGAGAAACCAAAGGGAAAAGAAAAAAGGCACACACACAGACAGAGAGCGGGGCTTCTGCGAAGGACGTCAGGGATTCAGATTTAAGCTCAAGCMCACAGGGGGTTGGTACTTCATTCAGGGGCTACACTCATATTTGCTGACAGYTTCCACAGATTGTTTTGCATTCAGRCRCAGGTGAGATCAAGTGGACAGACAAAAATGATCTGAAACAAAGAGTGATCTACACAACACACCCACCATGCAATACTCAAAGATTTGAGGTCKRCTCATCTTTTGGTTTAAGATGCAAAGCAGTGGGCCCATTTTCATTTTGAAAAGTTAAGCCAGCATCTTACTACATGCTCCAGGTTACATGACTTCACTTGTGTGCTCCTCCCTCCATGCTTTATGGTCCTGTCCTGCCTGGCCCCCCTCTGGTCCTCCAAGAGTCCCATGGCCTCACTCCACGCTGGTCCTGCATTCTTCCTCTGATAACTACGTCCATTCCTCCCTRTGATAACTAAGTCCATTTTCCCCAAGAAAAAAGAATCTTCCCTCTTTTCTAATGAAGTAAAAAAGCTTRAGAGTTGAAAAWAGTCCATATAGWATAACCTCACCTGTGATTCCTTGTGCTACAGCTCTGGTTATATGAGCTTGGCTTCCTTCCAAGTTGCCTTTAWGACTGTAGCTTTCCTTTGTTTAAATCAAAAAGTATTGCTTGAATGTAAAGGAGAAATTAAGGTGGTTATATGAGCTTTGCTTCTTTTCCATCTGCCTTTATGACTGTAGCTTTCCTTTGTTATTTCTTTGATCAAAGCAAAGACTATTACTTCAAAGTAAAAAAAAATTAGGCGAAATTGTAATGCTAAAAAGTTGCTCAAGTACAACTGGAAGAATTACAAAAGAAATGAAATTGAATCTCAAGATGCCTGATAAACAGTGGTATTGACTTATGAGTCTAACAGGGCYTAGTGTTTTCTTGTTATTCATAATAAAGTTTTATGCTCAAATGTAAAATTAAAAAACCATTACATTTTTTATCACAATTGTTTTACAACCAAATTGGAGAAAAAAAATAAGGAAAAAGTCTCTCCCCATAATACCCTTCCCCAAATTCAAGCAGTACAACACTACAAGACAATCACTGGTGTTACAGTAATCAAAAGTACAACTGCCTTCAGAGGGACAACTGTTTGACTATTAATACAATTTAAAGTGCAAACCTTTTTCCAGAAGGAGCTTTTAAATACCACAGGCCTGAACGCGAAGGATTCCTCCCTTATGCACCATAGATGGAGACTTGAATGTAAATTTTTGAAGGGTGGGCCACCTAACTTAATCTGCAAGAGTCACAAATACACAGTCCCCTCC